CTTCTCTTCTTCCTGGGCTGTTGTTAATAATTGTTATGGAACTTTTGGGGGGATTTGGTCTTTAATGCGCGAGAAATTGCGTCTCGGCTTCTTGAGTTGTGTCCTAGGAGGACGGTGTTGATTCAATTTTGTTTCATCATTGGGTCAGTATTCTTTTTTATTTTTATGTATTTAATACCAAATTATCTCCTATAGATTTTCCTTTCTCCAAGTATATAATTTTTATGTATTTAATACAAGCATCGTTTCTCATATATCCCTCCACAATTATATAATTTCTTTCTTGTCATCTCTATATAGGTCACCTCTCGATCTTTTGTAGATTTAGTTTATATATTTAATTTCCCAATCATTGTCGCCGACTATCAAATCTCCAATTAGCAGATATGGATCAAGAATGGTTGTTGACAACTCTTAATGATGGGTCGAAGTAGGTTGAAGGACCGAGCCAAGTAGGTTGATGTCAATCGTGGATTTAAAATTCTCAAAGAACTCCTTAGACCATCTTCAATCGTTTGATATACTTTAGTGCTGAGTTTACACTAATTTGGAATAGAAAATACTAATATTTAGCTTTCATCTCTAGTCGGCCGTGCTAAATTTTACTCTACATGAAATATATTATTACGAAAAACAAGAATAAAATCATTTTTTTTTTTTAACAGAGTAAGTACTTTTATTAATGTATACTTTGTCAATATAATATATAAAATAAAAATCAATTAAAAAGAAAATACAAATCGAAACAAAAATTGTACCACAATGAACAATGACACTGTTCATATCTTCAGAATACTGCGAAAATATAAACATGGGAACAAGTTTTTCGCACAACTCTGGTCAAGATAGATTGACTTCAGCTAATTTTACTGATTGAACTCGCTTGCTAGCCAGCTACATCGTCTTGCTGCCTTGCACTTCCGGATAAGGTAAGATGCAAGGTCAAAATTACTTGTAAAAATCGATTTGAGATCTGTCCTTCGCTTTATGAAAAGACATATATCGCAAACTCTCCAACTCGTAATTGAACTCAAAGAAATGAAACCACAAAGAAGGTTTTTCTCACTACACGAGTAACAATTGCTTAGCCACCGAAAATCTATCTAAAAGAGCTCAATTACATCGAGCCTGCCGCTCTATCGAGCTAACCAGGCAAGGTGAGCATATATTTCAAGAAATGATGGGTAAAGTAGCATTGTAGCACAACATTGGTCTTGCTCTTATACAATTAATTCATAGGTTTGTTTTGTAAACGGTATGCTTGAGATATTTTTTCTTTCTTTATATAGTTTATGTATGGTTTTATGGGGTTTTTTAACCACATTAAAAAATAAAAAAATTAAGTGGCCAAAAAAAAAAGAAAAAAAAAGTGTGGACCAAAATTAAAAGCACGTATTTTGATAATACGTTTTTATTTAAAAACGTATTTTTTAAATACATTTTAAAGTTAATTAAATTAATTATGTTATGAACTTAATTTAATAATAAATAAAACATATTTTTGAAATACGTTTTACATAATTTTATTTATAAAACATATTTTTTAAATACGTTTTAAATAATTTTATTTATAAACCGTATTTTAAAAATACGTTTTAAAAAAGTTAGATGCACGAAATACTCACAAGGCATCTACAATGGGGAAGATCGACCCTGTCAGTGTGGCCACTGATCACACGTGCGCAGGCAAACTCTATGTGAGTGCTAAATGTTAATGCAACTGCTAGTGTCATGTCTATAATGATAAGAAAGTTGTTAATGTAACTGTTAGTGTCATGTCTATAATGATGGGCATCGGTGATGTGTGTTGGCTCAAAGTGTTTGATCATATTATTCCCTTTTGTAATCCTTTTAAACCAAGTTAAATAACCAGTTAATATCGAGTAGAACTAATTTTGAACCAATTAAAAACAATAGAAATTTATTTGGTAGTTTCATATTATAATTTTGAACCAATTAATGACCAGTTAACCTTATTATCAAAGAACTAATCAATCATGTTTCAAATTCCATAAAAATTCCACACAGAAAAAGCAAATACAACAGCTGCATGTAGAAAGAATCACCCACTGTTCTAAAAATCGAGCCAGTAGAATTCAGGCATCTCGATTTTCGTTTGGGCAGCCTTTCTGGACGCTTGAGCAGTTAGGCGCCGCCTAGGGGCGGGTGCGAAGTTAGTCATGTTTAGGAGGTCTAGGTAGCGAGTTAGGCGGTCCAGGCGGTTGCGAAGTTAGCCATGTCCGACGCCGATCGTTGATTTTTGGTGTTGACTTTCGACACTGAACTTTGACTTTCGTCGTTTGATGTTGACCGTAATATGCATTATGTATGAAATAAATATGCATTTAATAGTATGCACTTGATATGAACTAAATCTACATTTAGTATGTCATGCATTACATCACTTCTAAAATCCACAATTATCACACACATCATTTTTTATATCCTTTTATAGTAAACAATTATGTCAAGTAGCTTTATTTGCCTACTTGAATGATAAAGAAGCCAAAAAAGAAAATAAATAAAGAATAAAAAAAGACTTACAATGAAAAGAGTATTTTAGGATTCAAACCATCGGTTTTGCTATGGAGCCAACAGTTGGCTCCATAGCAAAACCGTTCAAACCATGTAACTTGTATAGTATCCAGATCACTTAAAACAGTATCGGACCCAAATACCCAATAAAGCTAAAAATATAAGAACACGAGTACATATATTTACCAAGTTGCCTGATATATTTGAAACATATTTAATTTAATCACATAAGTAGTTGTCAATTGTAAAACCGTATTTGTACCAAATAAAGGAGCTCAAAACTGAAGTTGACGCTATTTTTCCATCTCACTGAACACACACAACCCACACAAGGTTAAAGCTTGAGACAGACCCCACCAATGTTACTTTGGCATTCAACACAAATCGAAAATGATAAGAATGAAGATATATAGACTCATCACATAAATTCAACTCCTTTCTGTTCTAAGCTGCACAGCCATGAATCGAGCAAGTTGGGAAGAAAAGTTCGATAAACTATACACAATAAACAAGTATGAAGTTGTAAGAATACCTTGAAGTATAAAAACTAGAATTAACATGTGTTGTGAACTAAATGCATCAATTTGCAAAACTAGAATAGCTACCTATCTACCACCATTTATCTTCAAACAGGAACACGAGTCACTCACTGATGGATTCAGGGTCTATATGTACAAAGAAACTAGCCGCGACTATTAGATAGCATAAAAGAAGCATTAGTCCTTTGAAATAATTTGATGTACCTTCCTGCAAGCCACATTAAATTACGATTAAGACAGACAAATATTTGGCCCGAGAAAAGAATCCCTATGAACTGGGAAAGATGAACAAGAAAATGGTGAAACTTTAGGAGCAAACCTGCAGCATGAAGGCTACTACAAGAACTGTCATAAGGAGAGTAGCAGTCTCAAATAGTTGAAAGTTTAAGTCCATTGGCCGTCCCATGGCCCAGCCCACGATCACAGTGAAAGGTATCTTCAGTTATAATTTAAGGGAATTATAAATAATAAATGAATAAAATGATGAAAGGAAAAAGGAGACATAGATAGAAGCACAAACCCCAAACATTGCTATTTGGGTTGACGAGCCAATCGCCACTCCCAGAGAAATGTCCTGCGCGCGCATGAGGGAAAAATTGAAAATTTAATTCAACAAAAATAAAATTAAATGATTTATTTTAAAAATGATAAAAAAAAAAAAAACCAACAAGCTTGTCTTTAACAGCAAACATAACAGCGCCCGCATGTTCAGCTGCATTCCCCACAATTGGCAGCAGGATAACGCTAATAAATGCTACCGGAATATTCATCGACACAGATGCCCCCTGAAAGAAATTTCAAAAGAATGTACGCATATATATAAATTAATAAATAGAACATCACTTACTAATCGTTTGTTCCTTTTACCTTGCTTTCTTTTCATTTTTTCATTTCTTAAAGGAGGAAAATACTTTAATTTAATAAACAGTGTTGCAGTGGAACTACATGGAATGCAAGTGAAAGTACTTTTTATCTAGAAACAACTTTACGGATATAAAGAAAAGAGGTGGTTGCATTTGTTATTATTAGATCAAGAAATTGTAATGATAAAGAGTCGTTACCTCTATGGCATTAACTAAATATTCCGACAAGACTGATATCAAGGAAGTTAACATAAATAACCACACGATTGATTCCCACTTTGAGATATCTGGCACGTCATTGTCATCTGAGCCCTCACTAGCTGGACTCTCTTCCTAGAAGCAAGCCATTACGATTATAAAAAAAAATAGCCAAATGCAGTAATTGATTTGCTCAGACAAGCAAACAAAACACCGTCGGCAGATTTCCAAGAATACAGATGGACAGCTGATGTTCTCCAAAGTTCCCAAAGTCTTGTACTGAAGTAAAATGCATGAAATGAGAAAGGCAGAGACATGAACAAGTATCCAAATGATTCGTGAGAAAACATTCCCACCCATTTATTGTAGCCAACTTTATATTGGAAAGACACAAAACTTTATTTAAAAATGAAGGGAAAAAAGGAAAATATATAAGATGGTCGATTATCTTCAATGCTTTATCACAACCTTTTCTTGATAAAATGAAATATGGCTATCAAATAAATATCTCCAATATGAAGAGTGGTCATGATAAAGGAGATATCTACCTCCTCATTTAAACGGGCATAGAGGTTCTTCTGAGTGGTCAGCTGGAAAAAAATGTATGCACCATAAGCTACCAGCATAATGCAGCTGCTAAACCTCGAAAGTGCCAGCTCAGACTTTCCGAAATGCAATTCAGTATGTGTGAAGTGGAGAACAGCTGGAAACATGAGACCCATAACCGCCATCAACAGCAACCCAGAGTTCATTGTTGCAGATGCCTAAAAAATTCGAAATAACAAATCCATGTAATTGCCTATATGGACAACCATAATTAAGCATATAACTAAAGCAATGAATAAATATAAGTTAGTTAACCATAACTGAACATATAACTCACAGCATTGTCTCATGTTAGATCATATGGTGCAAACTGGCACAGCAAAATAAATTCACCAACCTTGTCAAATACTTGTTCCCTTCTAAAATGAACAATTCCTCCTCCAAAAAGGGCACATCCAAGCACCAACAACATGTTAGAAAGAATCGACCCAAGCAGTGATAACTGAACAACACGAATCATGTCTCTTCTCAGAGCATACATAGATATTATTAGCTCGGTAGCATTGCCAAATGTAGCATTTAGAAGACCTCCAACTGAAGATACACAAAACAAAGTCATTGTAAAGGGCCTTTATATAGAATTACAGGAACAAATCTGACAAATAATGTTTATTTAGCTAAACTTGTGCCAGTGAAATTTCAGGATGACTACGATTCTGATGCTTAAAACACAAAATGCTAACACAGATGCATGTAAGTTAGAGAAATACAAGAACTGTGGTTCTGCAGGAATTGTATGATATTGTAATAGAATTATCTTACTCCTGAATGACCTAAACTGTGATCTAACTAATCATAGTTTTAGTTTATCATAAGTACCAGAAAAACAAACATTAACATTATATTTAAGCCTTAAGCAGCATACATACATCATCCTTGCAGAATTACACAAGCACAAATACACTATTTTTCTTTTGTTCCTTACAAGTGGGTTTACAGTGGTTTTACGGTTTGTATCGAAAAATGAAAGGAATTAGTAGAACCAAACCTGTAGGGCCGGTAAAGAATGCAAGCTGCCTGCACAAAAGAGAAGGTCAATGTCAATTGTATCAAGCAATGGTCTACTCAACAATACGAGCAGAACAAAACTTTGGTATCATGCAAATCAGAATATCCTTTACGTAACACATGCAAGACACTGGCAGGCAACTTAAGTCAGGACATAAAACTGAATTTCCTGTATATGTAACCATTTCACATTGTCATTTCTTATCCACGAAAAACGAGTATTACTAATAGTGTACAGAGCCTTGAAGCCAAATAGACTTCTCCAGAGCTGGGTTAAGAGAAAGGATTTGCAGGGAAACCAAATTGTTACATATATGAGTAGTGTTGCAAGCTTCTATAAATACTATCCACTTAAAGAAGAGATTGAGAGCATACTCCGTAGCCCAGCCCAAACGCTCAGCCAAAGGAATGATGCCCAATAAACTTAGAAAGAAGACCCATCCCTGAAAATACTCTAATCACTTAATTAGTCAATATATAAGAAATTGCATCTCGGGAAGTAATTTCTTCTGGTAAAAAAGTTTGTAACTTACTAGATGGTGGTTTGTTAGCTTATCGACTAATATAGCCAAAGGACCACATGGTATCAACAAGTTTAACTTGTTGGAAAACAAAGCAATCTTTATGCTGCGAAATATGTTCCTCAATATACTTTTACGACCAAAGTGTTCTTGTCCATCAGTAAAGGAGGGTCTCTGTGGAGCTATATCCAGAGAAGATGGCTTCCGATCAACTGGTTGTTGGTCGACAAGCTGCAGGTTTTCAAGGTCCGGGCCATCCGACGTTGATTTTCCCGCCAATGATCCCATCTATAGAACAAGGATTATACTGATTAACTTTCGATTTCAAAGAATATCAAATGCAGCATACTTTACTGAGAACTAGGAGTTTAGGTTATGACCAGTAATTCGGCACAAATTGGCTACTGTATAAAATCATGATTGCACATAACTTTTGATAGCCACTAGAAATGTTGACTGTAATGCTTTGATTTCATTTATTCAATCAAATAAAACTATATATCTTTATTACAATAGTATTTCAAATAACTTGATCCCAATAATGCTAAAATGATTGATTGAACGACTAACATCCATATTCATATGTATGCTATGAATATTTGGCTACACAAACTCAATCCACCCACAATCTCAGAACCTTTCAGTCTCATGCTGATACACAGACAAAGGAAAATGCATATAAAAGATAACACTACCTCCATGAGTGCAGTCTCAATCCACACATCGAATTTGTTCAGATAAACATTATAAGTAGTTTGAAAAGGGGTCGCCAGTACAAAATCATTACATTACATGTTATAATTGCAACCCCTTCAACTTCCCTAGAGGAACAAGGCCAACCGATATACCCAAGTTGCTAAATAAATTAAGAAAAAAAAATCCCAGAATCAATTTTTAAAACGTTCTATCACGTAAAAAAGCTTGCTTTTCCATATATACATGGGATAAAAAAAACATCAAAATTCACGAATATTTAAGCAACATAAATGACCAGAAAACGAAAGCGATTAGAAATTCCACACACGCAAAAGGCAGTTAGGGATCCATAGAGTGGAAAATTCAGACCGTTGTGAAGTCAACAACTGCTGCGAGTGTGGTCACACAGTGACGCGCATGCTTTTATCGATCGTGAGGCTATTGAAGAAAGTAAACTCTTTATGCATCAATGAGGGTTGAATTTGGGGTGGGACAAGTTAACGTTGAAAATTCAGAACCTTGGTGTGATTTAGGGTTCTAATTCCCACCGTCTGGTCAGATTGATGGTATCGTCGGCGTGAAAAAAGGAAGGCGAGTCGGCCGGTGGCTTTTCCGACGTGAGGGATCCAAGTAAACCCAACGCCTGTGTATGTTCAACCTTTGAGGCCTATTGCTATTGGCTGTGTATAAATTAAACCAGCCTAATTGAATTTTTTTGGATAAGTTTAGTGATACAAAATTCGATACTTCTCTATATTCGTAACCGAGAAATTTGCATTTGAGTAAAAAAGTCATTCTATATTCGAAATTTATTCAAATTCGAATTCTAACGTAGGCATGTTTCTTTTGAAATTATTGGGTATCCAATTGGTTAATAATAATTATATACAATTTGATATATTATATAAAATACATAACTTTATCCCCATAATGTATATAAAAAATATTAAAAGTAAATATATTTATATGTAATTTTGTATTATATATGTTTGTGTCTTTATAAATAGATTTTGTAAACAAATTTTGAGTAATATATATTTGATTATTATAATCGAATTGAATAAGAATTGCAAATTAAATTATACTTTAATTATTACAAACACTTGAATATTTTTACAGATGGAAACCACCTCAAAAAAACTCTCTCTCCATCCGAAAAAAAAGTCCCTTTCTCCCAAATCTCTAGCCGCATGTTCCTTCCTTCGTCGTCGTCACCTCCTCTCCACAGGGCTCTCAATGCGGCCCGGTTCCAGCCGCCGCTGGCCGGGCAGCTTGTCTCTTTTGGAGCCGAAGACTCCCCCTTTCTGCCAAGGCGCCTATGTTGCTGAGCGGTGCTTTTTGACTTCCGAGCCGGGCAAGCTCGTCAGACCCCAATCCGCCTCATCGGAGATGGTTGGGGTTGAGGTAAGACTCCTCCTCCTCTCTCTCCGTCTTTCTGGCTCTGGTTTAGGGGTTTAGGCATGTTTGGGTGATTGGGTGTATGGGTCTGTGGTGGAGTGGTTTGGTCGTAAGGTGGGGAGTGAGGCTTTAATGGCTGGTTGGTTGTGCGGATTTTGGGTCAATTGGAGTTGTGGTTGTTGTCGGTGGGAGGGGTGGGGGGAGTCGTCAGCTGGCCTCCGGTCTCAGCTCCAAAGGCAGTCCGTTTGGGAGGAGATTTTGGTCGTCTAGTGTGGTTCCAACTTGCCGTGGCTTCACTCGAGTTTTTGGAGCAGTACTCGAGCCGAAGTTCTATCCGAGTGGGGTGGTGGTTGTCTCTGGGTGTCGGAGCAGGGTGTGTTGCGGATAGTCTAGCCTGTGGTGAGGAGGGTGATTTCTGTTGATTTTGTGTTTTGTGTTTTTTGTTGGTGTTGTTGTATGTTGTTTGTTTGTGTTGTGTGGCATCATGTCGTGTTGTGGTGTTTTGCTAGTTTGTGGGTGAGTTAGTCTATTCTCTAGACGCTCGCGGCATGGTTGTCTCTTTAGGTTCAGTTAGATAACTGTTTGACATATTCTAATTGTTGTTTAGTTGTATTTGTGTTTGTTTTCTATAAAATCTATCGTTTCGAAAAAAAAACCACCTCAAAAGATTTATTTATTTTTATTCTGAAAAGCTTCATCCCTTCTTGTGGGTGAAAGACACAATTTCTTTTATGAAGCAACTTAACTTTTAGGTGGGTCGACTCATCATCTTCTATGAATAAAAATTCATATTTATATTATCAAATGTCATATTTTGTTATAATTCTGTTTATGATATTTTTCAAATTATTTTTTAGTAAAAATATGTATATTTATGACCCTATCCGTAATGTAGCCGATTCTCATACCAGTTACAAAATGTTTATGTATAACATAAGAATCAAAATGTTACAACGTAATTATGGTTTACTGATTCTAAATGATAGTTAACAATTATATAGTTTGGGAATTTGTTTTTCTTTTATCATGTTAATAAAATACATACACTGTAATTATAGTGTTTTGTAGTTTATTTTTTTGGCCGGACGTATGTAATTTGAGTCAATGATTCAAAACAAGATCTTTCTGAAAGTGAAATGCATAAATCAAGAATAAGCAACAAGCGCAATAAACATATAAACATATTAAAATAAACAACAAAAATCATTTGTATCCATATACAATATATAAATGGTATATAAACAAAAACCCAACAGTAAATAAAAGAAAAAATGATAGAAACCAACAAACAACAAGCGCAATGACCCAATTTGCCAATGCACACGAATAAACATATATTTTTTTTTTTTCAAGTTTTAAGATGATTTTATACAATTTATAAATGAGAAGAGTTATATAAATTAAAAAGAATCAATTCAGAAAATCTATAAAATTCACCAAAATTCTATATCAAAAACCAGAACTAGTTCACTAGAATTCTATTACATAGAACTAAGCAACCTTATCATGAGTCTTACCTTCTGATGACAAACCAAGAAAAGAAAAAACCCTACCAAAATGCAATCAAGGAGAAGGATGATTGATGACTGGGGGATGAGATCGGGGCTGTTTGAATGTAGGAGAAAGGCGCGTGAAGAAGTTTTCTTTTCCAAACTGTGTGCTCGGGTTGAAAGACTTCTAAACCAAAATACCCGCAAATTCGATGCTATATTTTAAAAAATATTTTGACTTGGTAAGACTATATATATATATATATAAATATGAAAATGTAATTAAAAATTGATGCAAAAAAGTAACATTGTTGTGTAGAAATGTACCAAAAAAAATTAGCGTAACATTTTTGTCCCAAAGTAAACTATATGTGGTCAGGAAGGTAATTTTTCTTTTTTTATTTAGCAATTTTACTTAAGTTAATTTCAAAAGGAACTAATAAAGTCATCAAAGGTCCACCAATCAATCCCTTCACATTAATTACAGCAAAATATATTACAGATACTATACTATTAACTATTGAATTCCGTACAAGCCTGTTTAATTACGAGTCCGTTTAATTAGTCTACTGAACCGCATTATTCGGCCAGTAGTATCCGATTATCACCACCCGACACACTCTATTTGCTCGGACTAGTAAGATTATATTGAAAATGATTAGTACGTAGTATTCAAATGTTTTGTGTTGGTTACATCNTTCATGTATATATATATATGACTTCATAATGTTCATCCAACGTATGAAAAAGAAGAATGAAAAAGAAAAAAAAAAAGAAAAAAGAAAAAAGAAAAAGAAAGTCCAATAGAGAGACATTGAGATAGTCAATTGGCATGTTTGAGAACACGCCTTGATCTGGAGCTGATTTTCTTCTGTATCTGCTTAACAACAATTGGACTCGTCACCTTGTGCTGACCGTTAGACCATGTCAGCTCCCCAAATACATAATCTTTGCTACCACCATATTTGTTAGGTTGTATTTTAATATTGAATCCTTTCTCCTCCCCAACAAAATTAAATTCCAGCTCATCCGGTTCGACTTTTACTGATATTCCATCTGGGCTACGAACAGAGGCTTTCTAAGTGCCCGGTGCACCTACATTTTTTTACCTTCTTTGTCACGGTGACTGGGCGCTTGAGGAAGGGAACAGTGACCGAGGGGTAGTTGAAGCCGATGAGTCTAATATCCGGCTTGGGACAAGTGAATGATTTTTTCCAGAACAACTTAATCTGCGTTTGGTTATAACCGATTGCGCATAACAAGTTGAGGTAATATGTTGTTTGTAAATCGTAAACGAGTCCAGGGTCCATTGCGCGGTTCGGATCAATGTGTCCTCCTCCGTAATTGAACGGCGTAGCTGTCGAGTTGCTGCTGTTGGTGATTGAGTTCCAAGTGTTGTCGAGTGTACTTGCTGAAAAAAAAAATAAAAAAAATAAAAAGAAAACCATACATAACAAATTATTATTCTTGTGATTTCTTCTGAAATATTCATAGGCATCCATGTTTGTGCACTGATGATTGGTGACTTAATTAATGTAGGTAAAATCACCAGTGGTCATGATGGCAGACTTAATGGCAGCCGGGCTCCATTTTGGGTAGAGCTTCTTCAAAAGGGCGACGACCCCAGCAACGTGTGGGCAAGACATTGAAGTACCCGACATAGAATTGAACGGCAGACGTTGCTTGTCAAAGTCTTGGCCTGTCGGTCCAACCGCTCCGGTATATGCGGCTATGATACTAACTCCTGGTGCCATGATATCCGGCTGAGAACAAGAAATTGTAATCAATCCATAAAATATAACTAAATTAATGAAACAAGAATTTACAAGGTTCAGTATTACTCAAAACCTTGAGAATTTTCGACATAACGAGATTCGGCCCTTGCGATGAAAAAGCTGCCATTACTGGCGCTGGCTTTACGTCTAAACGAGTTATTGGTTTGGTGATACGAGCCTTGGGAGACCTGCATAGCCTGAAATATTTTTAACAATATCTTTTTACAGAAGCATGTGGTGAAAGATAGCTATATATGTGATTTTGTTCACCTTGTTTTATTCATTTGAGTTAAGAGAGCAACTCCATCTTTGTAACTGATATGTGTAGCTGGCAAGACATGAGCTTCGGCTTTGATGTCATTCCCAGAGGCCTCATCGTTTGCTAAAACCATTCCCACAGCACCAGCTAAGGCGGCTTGCCTGCCCTTGTCGACCCTTGCAGTGATTCCCCTTAGACAAACCAAGATCTTCCCTCTCACCTTATTAGCATCCAGAGAATTAGGTTCACACAACTCCCTGCATTTCATCCCATAGTTTTTTCATATTTCAACTTTTTCAAAATTAGGCGAGTAAAATCATGTTCCTCAAAGGAAAAAAAAAAAAAAAATTACGCTTGTTCCGCTGTTACGTTAGTGGCATTTGCATATTTGGCATAAATTATGTGGAACCGCTTTCCCTCTGGAAGATATTTTATTTAAAGGCTTTGTCCCTGCGCATCAACAACTACTTCATCACACAAATGTCTATTTTCTTATTCAACTCTCAATTGTTCAATGAAGAATTAAACATCAACTTAAGGGAGAAACAGAAGATACATACATACCTCGTATTTCTCGTTCCCTAATATTAAATAGCTAGAAAATGTTCGATCCATGGTGCTTGCACCAACCGTGATCATCCAAGGCGCATTGTTTGAAACCGCACCCAGATTTGACCCCGAATTTCCTGCCGAGCAAACGACCACGATCCCATGACTCACTACGTGAAACGACCCAATGGCAACACTGTTTGCAAAATATTGTTCAGCGACATCACCACCGATAGAAGCCGAGATCACGTCAACCCATCGTGGATTGCCATGTCGAAGCCCGCAATGATGTCAGCATCAAAGCACCCTCCTTTTTCGATGACGGGCCAACAGACCTTGTAGGCTGCCACGCGGGCCATGGGGGACCCACCCTTGGCGGTGCCGTTTCCGTAGCCGAATATGTTGGCCCCAGGAACAAAGTTGCCGCCAGCTGTCGACAGGGTGTGGGTCCCGTGGCCCTTATTGTCGCGCGGCGTGTAGTCGCTTGAGTTGAGGTGTCCCCCGGCCGCGACGTACCCCTTGGATAAGTAGCGGGCACGATCAGCTTCCTTCATGCATCGAATAAATTGTTGGAAAAATGTGAATGGAAATTTGCAACATAACACCTTGTAACCAAGTGTTCATCAAATATTAAATTGTAATAACTTAGTTTACAATTCACAACCTGTTGCATCGAAAATTGGGATCGAATTCATTTGAGCACTCTCCTTTCCACTTTGATGGAATCGGACTATTTATTATGTCGTCGCTAAAGCTTTTCGATTCTGGCCACACGCCTGGTTCGAACACAATACTTATTATCATATATATGCATGGACAACAAATGTAGTTCCTCTTGCATATAACATAGAAATAAACATATGCATATATAATAGTGTAAATGATACATTGGACAAGTTATAAGAAAACAAACCCGTGTCGATATTGCCGATGATGACATCTTCACCCAACTTAGCCTTCATCCACAAAGAGTCGGATGGAATTTTTCCATCGTTTTCGAGACCGAGAAAATTCCACGACCTCGTCGTGTGTAACTTTCTTGCTTGATTCAAGAATATAGATATAACTTCTGGATGCTCTGAGAATGATCATGTAATATATTGAACATAGTTATTAGAACAAATAAGACTGTAAAAAAATAAAAATGAAAAATATAGACAAAACCACGTACTGGATATTTGATCTGCTTCATTTTCTTCGAGAGTTGCAGCAAATCCATTGATGTGTCGAGTGTAAGAGTAAAAAATAGCAGCTTTGGCCTTATCCGAACTGTATAAAAAGAATGAAGATAGTACTGGAGCAATCTTTTTTATCAGGAAAATGAGAAATTTGAACTACGGAACTCCATTTTTCTCTTGATGATTTTTAAACGAACTTCACTTAATTACGTACCTTCCCAAGAATGACCCAAGAAAGTCATAATGAGACTGAGTGACTCTATCATAATCAATTTGTGTGGCTTCTTTTCCATGTGAATGACCTCCCAAGTACACCACATATGACTATACAATGGGACCAAGAAAAATTAAAAGAAATAACATCAAGGAAAATTAGGCTGAGTAAAATCATTATCAATGTGAAAGATCCTTTTTTTGTTCCCTTTCATTAACATTTCACGTTTTCGGATAGAAATTTCTAAAAAATATTTATTTAGCCGCTTGATCGATGATTCAAAAAAGCGGACAAAGGGTTGACATGGTCAAAACAACCATGTCAATGACTAGAACGAGTGGAACAAAAAGGTCATGATCATTCCTAGCATATTTTGAACTTTGATGAGGAACAGTTATCCAAAGCTAAAAGGAAATGGAAAGTCCAATTATTTGAACGAAAACCTCATTTTGCCAAACTCTAGTTGGACTTCAAAATCAGTTTATTAAATGCAAAAATCAGTTTATTGAATGTCCTAAAATGGTTACAGGCGGCATTTTGTTGTTTCACGTTCTAACAGGCATAAAAAGAGGTTGTTTGATTGAATGGTCCAAGGAAGAGTTTATACTTGTGAAACTTATCAAAAAATAAAATATAAATAAAATATTGATCTAAATAAATTGCCATCAGTGTAGCTGCAGATATGCTTACCTTCTTGACGGCAAATGGGTGGCTCAGCAAGAGAACCAAAACAAGCGGTCGAAGATAAAAAGCGGGAACATGAGTAATATATCATGGCTTCTTAACTTAATTTCAGGTCCTTTTACTTGAAGTTAAAGGCTTTCACTTATCTTATGTCTTTGTCCACTAGACAAATCTATATATAGGCAGCAAATTCTCTCTTTTTAGCATTGGTTTACGTTGCGCGATTATCGTGCAAATTAAATTGTGTAAAATGCAAGATCGAAAGAGATTTTTGGGAAGATTTGGTGTTGATCTTAATATCTCCAAGTAATCATGATCCTAGTAGATCATAATCTCCTTCAATATCACACATGTGACTTGTTATCAGAGGCGGATTGACATATAGTCCAGCCTAGGCAGTTGCCTATAATCATTAATTAGTATAGATTATTTATAATAAACCGTGAAAAATTGTTTAAATGGAGGTTGGATGGAGAGTAAGACATGGACTTTTACTTTGTTTTAATGGGCCAAAATCAAAATTGCTATTGGGCTTCTCATCAACTAATTTTTTTTACTAGTCCACTCGTTAACTATTAAATGCTTATTATTATTAAGGCCAATAAATCAGCCTGTGATGAGACCTCTGTTACTTAAAATAAAGTTCTGGAGGAATTGAAAATTCAACATAAAAGGCAACAAGTAGATCCTACCCTTGATTATATCATTTCCTTTCTAAAATGATTTTATTCCTTCTTTGTAATATTTTTACCGTTGGACAAATCTCTATAAGAGACATTGTATAGTTAGAAATAAATAGCTTGGGTTCATCGTTCCTTAAGTTCTTTAATAAAATCCTTTTTTCTCCAGACACTCTCTTCCTTTTATCTTGGTATCAGAGACAGTGAACACAAGCAGAATACAAAACCAACCAGTCATGAATTCTTTATCTCTAAACGTCGGCAACTTCATTACACTCAAACTCACTCCAACAAACTACCCTCTATGGCGAGAACAAGCTTTAGCCCTTGCTGAAAGCCAAGAGCTGGTTGAACATCTGACAGATGAAAGCTCAGCACCACCAAAATTTACCACTCCAAATAACCCTTTAGATGCCGAACAATTCACACCACAGTTAACAAAAGAGTTCGCCGCGTGGAAAAAAGCTGACCGCCTTTTGCGGGGTTGGCTAATTGGTACATTATCTGAAGAAGCACTCGGCTTGGTCATTGGAGTAGATACAGCGTTCGGCGTCTGGGAAGCCCTCAAAGATGCCTACGCACAAGACTCTCAAGAGAGAGAATTCACACTGAGGCAACAACTCACATATCTCCGTAAGAATGATGACAAATCCATTGCAGACCATATTCGTACTTTCAAAGGTCTGTGTGACAATTTAGCGGCCATCGGAAAACCCGTCCTTGACAAAGAAAAGGTATTTTACTTGCTCACTAGCCTTGGCCCGCAATATGAAACTTTCACTACCACTATGTTGAAACCTCCCCGACCCACTTACACTGAACTAGTGGCACAACTTCAAAATTTTGACCAAAGACGTAGTTGGATGAACAACACCGACATCGGTACCAATTCGTTTAATACTCCAATGGCTTTCTTCGGACAACACCAAAAACGTCAAGGAGGACCCTCCAAGTTCACATCATCAGGACGAGGTTTCATAGCACAACAACCGAAAAATCTCTCTCATTCTGAAAAATTCAGCCCTCAGCCAAAAAAACCACCACCTCCTGGACAACGACGTATGTCGCAAGTTGAAAGAGATCTTTATCGAGATGAGACGTGCCAATATTGTGGTGTAACAGGACATATTGCAAAAATTTGTTGGTGGATTCCAAAACCATCAAAGGGGACAGATGACTTACCACAAGCATTAGCCGCCCTCACATTGGATACCACTGTTGCTGATAATGAATGGACCTCTGATACTGGTGCCTCCAACCATATGACAGGTAAGTCAGGTATTCTATCTAACCTCCAAAATAATTGTGGATCAGACTCTATTTTACTTGGTGATGGTTCATGCTTACTTGTTGACGGAATTGGATATTCTGAAATTCGTCAAGATAACTTCAGCTTACCATTAAATAATATTTTATATGTTCCAAGTTTAAAGAAAAATTTGTTATCGGTTAGTCAACTCACTTCTGAATATCCTGTCAATTGTGAATTTACTGATAAAGATTTTTGTGTTAAGGACAGGAAAACAGGCCAACCGTTGATAAAAGGAAGGCGTAAGGGAAATCTTTATGTCCTTTCCAATCAACCTGAGTTAAATTTCTCTCACCGTTTCAAGTCTGGCTCATCTAATATTTGGCATCAGCGTTTAGGACATCCACAACACTCTACTTTACTACATCTCAAGAATAATAACCTTATTCATGTCACAGGCCCAACAAAAAATGAGCACGTTTGTGATAGTTGTCAACTAGGAAAACTTAGTAAATTCCCCTTTAGTAGTTCTGAGCATTCAAGTACTGATATTTTTGACAAAATTCATTGCGACTTATGGGGTCCGGCTCCAGTTTTATCACTTGGTTCTTTTCGTTATTATGCATGTTTTGTTGATGATTTCTCCAAATACATATGGATTGTTCCTTTACGATTGAAATCGGATTTATTTGATGCCTTTATCAATTTTGAACGGTATGTTGATCGACAATTTAACAAGAAAATCAAAATACTTCATTCTGATGGGGGAGGTGAGTTTGTTAATAAACGATTGTCTACGCATTTTTTGTCTTCTGGTATTATTCATCATAAATCGTGCCCATATACACCTGAGCAAACAGGTATGGTTGAACGGAGGCACCGCATGATTCGGGAATTAGGTATGACCATGTTATTTCATAGTGGTGCTCCTCTATCTCTATGGGTAGAAGCATTCTCAACGGCTGTGTACCTCATTAATAGGTTACCCTCTTCCGCGCTTAATTTTAATTCTCCTTACCTCATATTACACGGCACTCACCCCACATATAGCTCTTTACGTGTTTTTGGATCAAAATGCTTTCCGTATACTTGGGATACTCGAAAAAATAAGTTTCATCCTAAAAGCATACCTTGTGTTTTTATAGGTTATAGTGATCAATTTAAAGGCTATAAATGTTTTCATCCACCAAGTAAAAAAATATATATTTCACGGCATGTGGTCTTTGACGAATTATGTTTTCCTTATAAAGAACGTATTTCTTTCAAAATTAACACTGATCGTGTGAATAGTATTTTTGATTCTTGGTTGCCTACAACTAACAATTTTCTTTTGTCAGACTCACCCTCCGGTAGTGTCACGAATGACTCTAACTTTATTGACATACCTCTTTCGCTACCTCCAAATCCTATTCCAGATGTAGATCATGTTGGGATCTGTGAGGATCTCGTTATGTACAAATCACGAATTCAATAGCAAACGTAAACCTATGCGCAGCGGATCTAAAGGTT